TTTCTTTTCTTTTGTGGCTTGAGGAGGGGCGGCGCCCTATCGCCCTCTATTGGCCAGCCGTCCCTGCTCATGAGCAACTTTTGGCTGAGACACGGTGACGCGGCAGGAGGCCTTCCTCACTGCTAGTTCACTGAAGACAGTTTGGTGTGTCTGGACCTTTACTTGTGTCCAATTTTGACATATGGACATGATAAGTACTAGCCAATCACAGCACAGTAGGGCAGGGCAAGGCAAAACACTTGCTGTGTCTACAGCTTGTTTTCACTGCCCTCAAGTGATCAAAATGTAGTTATCAGAGCTTTAATGTGAAAGAAATGTCAAAGGTTTTGCATTGTTATGTGACAAGAGCTTAAAATCTTTCTTAAAAATCACACCACATCAATGTTTTTCTCTCTTTAGCTGATATCCTACTGGTTCAGTATTTTCTATGTTACCACCCTAATGTACTGGAATAAGCGAGCAGGACACTTCTAAAGTGCTGTTTCATTGTGACTTTGAAGCAACACTAGGGAACTTTGCAAGCTGGTGGCCCCAAATGGCAGTAAGCCAGAGGCAACTATTTGAACACTGAGGACTTCAATACCCAGATGCCATGTACCGTGATACGAGGAGACCAAGTGTCTTCTTTGTAGTGTCTAGCAAGTGCAGATATAGTGAAGAGGTGCAACTATCACTGATAAGGCTAGACAGAACACTACTTCAGACTTTTTGTGCTTACATTTGATTGCATCACTTCCTGTGCATGGAGAAATATTCTTTTTTGTTACAATGGTAGCACCCGATGGCACCAATTAGTAGGAATGTCTTGCTGTTTATTCCCTGTTGCAGTACAGTGTTGTAGGATACTACAGTATTCAATGCATGTGTCTAAAAATCTTGTGTGGCTTTAAAATCACCATTTTGGAGTGCAGTGTAGTAGATGGTGTTTATGAGGCTGTCATTAGCCAGATTCCAATCTTTTTGCATTAGTATTCACATGAAGGCCATGCCAATCACACTGGTTAGCACACACACCATAGAGAAATCTCATCAGTTTTAAAAAATGTGCATGCACCTGCCACATTTCTGCATCGTATGCTTTCAGGTGAACAAACATACACACACTGAAGAGCTGGCAGCCATGTGCAGCTGATCACAACTGACCCAGGTTCACCTTTCCTTAGTGTTGGAATTGTTAAAAGGAATATTTATTTCTGGGGAAGGGACTGAAAGACAAAGATAAATCCTGCTTAGAGGAGAGGTGGAAAGGTCAGAGATGAGAGAGAAAAAGAGAAGACCAAGAGAGAGGTGATGTGAGGGTAGTGTGATGGAGAGGTGTGTGTGTGTGTGTGTGTGTGTGTGTCAGTCACCATCCTTTATACTATCTCTGTCTGATTATCTCTGTCATGGTTGCTGGGATGGACAGAGAAGTAAAAGTGCAGATGCACGCTCTGTGTTTACTGAAAACATGATCCAAATCTGCATCATTTTTCACCAAAGGAAGGAGTGGCCGGCAGTTGAGACAATCTCGAAACCCTTTATTGCCGCAAGAAAAAAATATTTACAGGAAGTAATTACATACAGTAAATGAAGTACAGTGATCTTTACTGAGCATTAGCAAACACTATCTCATTCGAATGTGTTGTCACACAGTTACAGTGTACATGAATGAATATAGGTAATTTTACTGACTAGTGACACATGAAGTGGATATCTCCTATGGAATTATTTTCAGCAGCAGGTGTAAATGCAAACATGCAGAGAGCTTGGTGTTTTGGCTCTCTGCTGCCCCTCCCTGGTCGTACATACACAATACAGTTTACTCTGACAGCGAGCCCCAGAGTAGTTCATTACAGGCTGCTCCAGATACATGAATTTTACTTACTTTGTCACTTAACAGCCTCAGGTGGATTCACAAGCACATTTCATGTAGCTCAGAGTTTGAGTCTGTGGTACTGAATGCAGTAATAAACTAAATATTCAAGTTATTAAAGACACTCCTAATCGGTTTAGCACAGATTGTGGAAACCAAAACGGAATAATAAGATTTACTTGGATTCATGTCATTATTGGAAAGTGTAAGTATCTGTAAGGGACTGTTTGTTATTTAGAAGGGAGAAGGGGGTGGTGCAAAAATGGGTAGGCACGTCAAATAATTTTTGAAGCACTGAGGAGGGAGTATTGTTTTTAATTTTGGCTTAAGGGAGGGGCATACCACTTTAAATGGCTGTATTTTATTTTATTTTTTACCGCCCATTTTCAAAGAAAACAAGGTATGTTTTCTTTAAATATTGCCAAAATGACACCATTTATCATAGCCAGAAACTGTAAATTAACAGAAATTATCATTTGATTTTCAAATTTCTGACAGTCTTTGAACACATTACGTGGAACAAATGCTTCCATCAAGAAAAACCATAACCAAATCTGAGCTGAAAATAGTAATATTTCATCAAAATCTCTTTATTCTACATTTAGAATATGACCGGAAAAAAAAACAAAAAAAAAAAACATTTGCACAAACCAAGCGGAATGCACAACAAAAAGGAAAAACCAAAGCTTTATTCAACTCCAGGTTTTCAAACATAAAATGGTACGTTTTAAAAACTAACAATAATTTATAGTGGAAGGAGGGTTGTGAATTTTTCTCAAGTTACTCAGAGAGGCTCAAGGAATAATAAAATATTTTTGGCTTCTGGGAGGGTAAAAAAAACAAAAACAAAGTCACACCCCAGCCATCCCTCTCCTCTGATAAGTAAAGAACAGTTCCTAATAAGTTGAATATTTAGATATTTATTTGATTATTGTATGTACAAGTGACAAAGAGGATAGCATCAAGAAGCAGATACCAATATGTGTCCTTGAGTATGTCGTGTGCTTTCTGATCAATTACTACTCTGAAGGTTATTTCTACTGTGCCTGTAGAGATTTCAGTGAATACATAGGTGAATATTTTGATGCTTGTAATACAAGAGTGTTTTTTAAGGGGATTTCTGCCCTGCTGAAGCTCTCCCAGCATTTTTTTCCTCTCATGTCAACGTCAAATGTCAACGTCATATAAAGTCCCATATAATTCCCTTGGATCAAATCTTTTAGAGATGAAAAATGGTAAGCTCTGTGGACATGCAGCCTGACAGACTGACTTCTTGGACCAACTTGTTTAGAAACTGTTGTTCTGAACTGTGTTTTCACCGAACCACTTAGTAGCTTGATGACAGACATCAACTTGGAAGATGTGTTTTGTGGAATTTTGAAGACTCAACCTCCAAAAGTGCTCACCTGCATGGATATTCTCCCAACTTTGGTTGGTAGGAGCAACATTTGTAATGATTTTTATGATTGCAGAAAGGCTTGGCATGGCCGTTATTATCATTTATAGCATGTCAAATCTCCTCATCACTTTTCTGAATAATGTGGGATCAGATCATAACTTGTCAGATGTGTCAAATATGTGTTCTTATGATGTTTTTGCATGACATATAAAGTGTCTAGTTTTATTATGCCTCTGCGTTGGCAACAGCCATAGCCAGAGGCATAATAAAAGCTGTCTGTCCCTCCATATGTCTGTACATCCATACATCCATCTGTCCATTCAATCAATCAATCAATCAATTTTATTTATAAAGCCCAATATCACAAATCACAATTTGCCTCACAGGGCTTTACAGCATACGACATCCCTCTGTCCTTAGGACCCTCACAGCGGATAAGGAAAACCTCCCCCCAAAAAAACTTTAACATTGATTGCAATATCTTAAGAAGGCCCTGAGGAAATTTCTTCTCATTTAGCACAAATGTTCACTTGGACTCAGGGAAGAACTGAATAGTTTTGGGGGGGTCATAGGTCAAAGGTTAAGGTCATTGTGACCATATCTGTCTCTGTCTTGTGAGTGAGATGTCTCAAGAATGCCTTGAGGATGTTTTTTTCAAATTTTGTCACAAACTTTCACTCGGATGAACTGATTAGATTTTGGTGGTCAAAGATCAAAAGTCAAGGTCAATGTAACCTTGCATCCATGTGCAAGGTTGCATCCTAGTGAATGTGACATCTCAAGAACACTTCAAGACATTTTCTTCAGATGTGGCACAAACATCCACATTGAGTCAGTGATGAACTGATTTGAATTAAGTCAAAGTTTAAGGTTACTGTGACCTCATCTGTTGCATTTTCATGAATGTGATATCTTGAGAAAAGCTGCAGGAAATTTCTTCAAATTTGGCACAAACATCTACGTGGACTTACAGATGAACTGATTAGACTTTGGTGGTCAAAGGTCAAAGTTCACTGTGATCTTGGGTCAGTCTCTGTCTCATTTTGTGATATCTCAAGAAGGCCTTGAGGGAATTTCCTCAAATTTGGCACAAACATCCGCTTGGACTCAAGAATGAGCTGATTAGAATTTGGTGGTTGACTGTCAAATGTCAAGGTCACTGTGACCTCACAAAACATGTTTTTGGCCATAATTCAGGAATTCATACGCTAACTATTACAAAATTTCACACAAATGTCTAATAGGATAAAATGGTGAAGTGGTGATATTATATATCCAATCGGTCAAAGGTCAGCTTGTGACACCATAATGTTCTGCAAAAACACTTTTCTGAACAGAAAGGGAGACATTTGGTCAGATACTGAATTGATGACACTAATCTTGGGTGCCCACCTTGAAACTGTGCTGATTGTATAGATCTTCTGTGCTGCTGGGGGGAAGATGTGTGTGAAGCATCCATGTTTTCTCAGACATGGATGTAAACTGTAACTGCAACTTAACTGGTTTGTGGAGGCATACAACCCCAAAGCGGAAATTCTAATTGAAACCACAGCGGAATGAGTAATGGCATAATATGAAATTCAAAACCTGTTTACAACTGTGTCAGCTTTGCAAGAACTGTTTTCAGTGCTGTTATAAATACAGATTTATTAAGCCTTACAATAAATATGGATAAAACCCTGACCCGCTTTGCAGAGGGATCACACTGACAGTTTTCCTTTCTCTCCCCTTTACTCCTCCTCCATCCAGGGATATGGGCCCAGATCCAGATGCCCCAATCCAGTATGGATGCGATCAAGGGTCAGATGGTGGTGCTGAGGGCCTCATACATCACAGAGCCAGGCAGTGACCTGAGCACCAACACCATCCTCTGGAATTTTTTCTCTAACAACAGCCAGCTGGTAAGGAAGTGACTGAAAGACCCTACCAACAGTCATACATATGTGGAAAACATTGAAGTGATATTTTTTCATATCTTGCTCTACATTCAGTATACTACAGTATCTACAGCAGCAGCTGTGGCTATACTATCTGGGATTACCAACAATCTTTGCCTGTCTTTACACTGTTAATCTGGCAAAGCTCTTCTTTTGTAAACCCCTAGAAATTAATCCAAGAAAAAGGTTTAGGGTTTTCATACAAACACTATATTATGTCCTTACTGGTTTAGTAAACCCTGCTGTAGTTTTTCTGCTTTATGAAAGTAAGAGATGAATGTGTTTTCCAAATCAGAATATTTATGAAATCATCACTCTGGTAAAACATTAAATAAAGCAGAGAGGTCTTGCATAACAAGTCCCAGCTGAACAACAATTATCTGGAGACCTGGCCGTGGCTCAGGTTACGTATCAGCCCAGGTCAGATTATTGGGCTATGCAGATGGACGACCCAAAAGAGGATCACAATCAAAAAGGAAATAGGAAAAAGAGAACTCTGAGAGCTGGAAAAGACACAGTAGCTCAGAAGTGAAGCTTTTTGTTTTTTCATGTGCCCAGACAGCCATCCAGCATCTCGCTTTGCTTCACTGTCATTTGGAGCCAAAAAGATGGAAAAAAAAGAACAAACTGTCACTACCTCAAAGACAAACCTAGATGCCACAGGAGAGTTGTATGTGTATGTTACAGTGATGCACAGCCATCTCCACAGTATGCAGTCCAGCTAATGTGAGGTAATTGCTTCTGCCAAACAGTCACTTTGTTGAAAATTGAAAAACCAGTTCAGTTTTGATTTTTCCAAACAAGCAAAAATATTTTGTGATTTCTATCCAACCGGATCTTGTAATTCAGTAAAATGGATGAAATTATTCACAAATTTGGCTTTCCTATATGTCACATGAGTGTTTGGTGTCTCACATCTCACTTAGATGGCCTCCATGCACTAAGTGGTTACAAACTTACAAACTGTCCAGCAGTTTTTGACAGGTTTTTCTCTGACAGAGGTGAAGTTAAGTTTTAATCAGCAACTATGTGAGAGGACACAAGTTTAAACCTGCAGACTAACATGTTGCAGATAAAAAAAAGAATTCAGGCTTTAATGAAGTTATTTCATATTACTGCCTTCATGGAAACCACAACATGAGACAGGAGTCCTCAGGATAAAGCTGACCCAGGCCCCCAGGAAAGCTGCTCAGCCTTGCAGCCAATCTTTCTCACGTCTGTAAAACAAATTTAGTTATGACTCTTTCTATTGTATTTTTTTTTTTTTTTTTAAATCCAAGAAGGTTTCATATTGGTAAAACTTACCTGGAGCTGAGAAAATCCATTTAAAAATCTGTGACATCATCACAATGTAGAGTTTCTGAGCTGAGCGGGACTCACAGGCGGTGCCAGCAAGAGAAACACTACTGGGCATATTCAGTGGACCGCATACTGCTGAAGTAAACCCAGAAGCCACAAAACTTTTTTGGCATATGTGTGACTCCTTTGAAATGAATCGGCACCATCTTGGTGTCCAATATCTAGTTAAAAATTATTAAAAATCTAATCTAGTCTAGATTAATTGATGTTTTTGTAGAAATCTGATAGAATTGACAAACTTCTGGGACACATCTTTACACGGCCAACATTTTCATTAAAAAAAATATTTTAAAACAAAGATGATTATGGCAGTAGATTTTTACATAACTTTTTACATAAGTTATCAGTATGTACTTTTAGTTTTAGATTTTTGAAGGCTTTTAAAACATTTTTTAATTGTTTGAAACTGTGATTTATTTATTTTTTCATATAAATAAATCCTTTAAAAATAATATTTCACCCCAAAAACAGTATTAGTGTGTTGATATGTTAGAATTTTGAGGCTTTTTTTTTTTGTAAGGACAAGATTGGTCACAGTTCTCAAGAATGGGTAAATGCAAATTCAGAAATCACACTAGTTTGGATTTTTTCTCTGAACAGTGTTATGTGTGCTAGCACAGCAAGGGTTGCAGTTAGGGTTGAAATGATTGAAAGGGGCCACAGAGGTGCACCACATGACTCTATAAGAAGATTTTATCAGTGGAGTACAAATTGTGTTCCATGTAACTCAGTTTACTCTGTAATGCATTCAACCAAATGTTTGAAAAAGCCAGTCACAAATTTCTGGGCAGGAGATGTTAGGATTAAAAAGTCCTTCTAATTCTTTTGACCCAAGATAACCCCCAAATGCAATCATATTGACATGGATGTCAATGAAACGGGTTCCTCTGTTGTGCACAAATACTTGTTCCCAAACTGCGTACTCACAAGGCTTTTATTTCCTGTTTCTTTAAGTCTGGTGTTGGCTCTCTGTTCTCTTCTCCAGATCATCTCCTACACCAAAGGCTCCATGAGTGTAGGCAGCGCCCAGTTTAAGGGCCGCGTTGGTTTCTTCACTAGCATGCCCTCACGGGATGTGTCATTGTACATCAACAACACCCAGGAGTCTGACTCAGGACTCTACTTTTGCCAGGTCATCAGGCCTGATAATCCTGGCCTCACTGCTCAGCTCACCCTGGATGTGAAGGGTAAGTACCAGATCCTGCTTGACAAGACATGAAAATGTGCTTCACCTCTCCTGCACTATAGTTATACTCCTATACTTCTTGTAAACTTGACTGATTGAAAGACATACATCATGTTGTATAATCTAACAAAGTAAATATTGTCTGATCCTCTCATGTCAGTCCCTCCTGCTGTTCCTAAGTGCTCTGTGTCAGGGAAGGCAGTGCTGAAGGGAAATGTGACTCTGAGCTGCACATCCAGCTCTGGGAAGCCCATTCCTCTGTACAGGTGGAAGAAAACCAGCCCCACCTCGGAGGTCTTCTTCTCACCTATGCTCAGTGAGTGGATCCAGCACACTACCTGGTCATAATTTTTCACTCTGCAGCAACATTTACATACCTGCTCCTGTTACTGGAGTGTTCAGCTACAGTAATGTCGGTAGAGTATCCTACCAACTTGTATAAAATATTCATTATTTCTGTTGTTTTTTGTTTTTGTAACTTTGGGACTTACAAATTTGAGGCCAAAGCCTTTTTAATGTGATGAAGGCCCTGGGTGTAGAGTTGCTGTGTGGCCCAGTGAAGAATACTGGCCTAGGTTTTCAAGTTGACCAAAAATGTAATTCTTAATTTTATTTATTTGCCTTTATGAAGGTGCTATTTACTTATAACCAAAATCTTACTTTCAAAATATGTGTTTTAAGCATTTTAAATGAGACAACACCAGACAAAATGTCATCCAGGATAACAGATGACATTATGGTGTAACTGAAAATAACAGTTACCCTTTATGACAAAACTGTTATTCAGTATGACAAAAACTCAGTTTGAACCTTTATCAGGCAGTTGTCTTGGCTACCTATAGAAATCTGTCACCTTGAACTTCAACTTTCAAGTATTAAATTGATATTAGATAAATATATTTGTAGCAAATCAACATTGGTTATATTTTTTTAGTGTTATCACAAATTACACTTACTCCTTACTCCTTAGTGTACCAGTGAGCAAAAAGGGTGCAGTTTTCAGACAAAATGCTCCAATGCATAAAATTAACTGAATGTCATATTTTTTGTAATATTTAAATATATTGATATCAACACTTGTACAATAATGCAGAGACTTTAGGTTTTAGGGGGACAGTCATCTGGTGTGATATTTTATGAATATCATGTCTGCCAAACTAAATCCTTGAAATATATTTTTATTTCACTTGATAAACCGAGATTAATAGATTCAATAAACATGTTTATTATGAAGAGTTTCCTTATTTTTTCTTCATAAAGATGCTGACTACACATATTCGTAATGAACTGTTCGGTATGAGGCTTTTGTTGTGTTACGCAATACAAACAGAACTATCCTTTTGCACTTGGAAAATAAGATATACAGTTTAAATTGTGTTTAATATAATGTTCTCAGAGTCACTGCACTTGACAAGGAAGCCCATATGTAAAGGCATAAGGCATCAGTTTTTTAATGTTTTTCATGTGAAAGGTTATATTAAAGGTTGTTTCAATTCAATTCAATTTCAATTTTATTTATAAAGCCCAATATCACAAATCACAATTTGCCTCACAGGGCTTTACAGCATACGACATCCCATTTTCATAAATGTGTACGATTGAATTTGTGCTCATTCAAAGATACATAATGAATGAATGAATGAATGAATGAATGACTTTAAAGCAGTTATATTTTTATTTTATAGATTTCTTTGTTGCCCTGGAAACAAAGGGAAAATAAAAAAAAACAACAAAAACTGAATATACAATATAAAAACATCATTATGAGCTATTGGCCAAATTATTATTTTAAACATGTTGTTTATAACTACAACTAGTCCAAACCCATTGAGTACAGCATACCAAACCATGAGTTAGTCATACCAAAAATTAGAAAAAAACCCAACATTCGTCCACAGGGGGAGCCACAGCGATTGGTTGCATTTTAGCCATTTTTAAGCATTTTTCTGTTGTTATAGCGCCACCCAGTTGCCAATTAGAGTTAAATTTCTCCAGTCACCTTGAGGCGTCCTGTTCTACATATCTACCAAGTTTAGTAAAAATCCATATGGCGGTTAGGCCTAGATAAGAAATTAGCTCTCTAGCGCCCCCATTTTGTTTGATGGGGTCAATAATGGAGGGGTCCCCTCAGATTATGTGTGGTCATATGCCTACAAAGTTGCGTGGTGATGGGTGAAACCCTTGAGATGTTATACACCTTTATGTGATGAGCCACACCCTCCGCAATATTCATTGCCTTATAGAAGCTCAGTTTTAGTAAGTTTTCCAACTTTTGCCAAGAGGGAACTTTAGATATTGGTCCCTAGATTATGTTCACCGAGTTTCATGCAGATCGGTCAAACTTCCTAGGAAGAGATCGATTTTAAGTGTTTTTCAAAAAATTCATAATGGCGGAAAATCTATATAACCGGAAGTTATGGGTTCTTGAGGCAAATTTGTTCCTCATGAGGAGAGGCATCTCTGTGCAAAGTTTCATGTCTCTACGACATACGGGGCATGAGATATGCCCATTCAAACTTTGCAATTTCAGTCAGTTGCTATAGCTCTCCCCTTTGGCTAATTGATGTAATATTGCTTCATTTGCATCCTCCCATTACCCTCTACCACTGTGCCAAATTTCACATGGATTGACCAAGTCAGTGAGGAGATAAACGTGGAACAGACACACAGGCACACACACAGACAGAGTTTTTGTCATTATATAGTAAAGATACTGATACAATACTGAATTTAATTTTTTATTAGAAGCTGTAGTCATTTATGTTCTGTGACACTTTAGAAGATGGGTCACTCAAGTATAGCTCCATCATTGTTCCAAGTCAAATAATATAATTTTTTAATGTTAGTTTTAATAAATAAATGAATTAAAATAACATTTTTAAAAAAGGACATTTCTCTGGCATTTCTACATTTTCGCTGTATTGAAAACGTACCGTACTGTGACACCAGTGTATCGTACAAAATCCATCAGCAAATTTTGTGAACCATTACATGTGTACTTTTGACTTCAAATTTGCATTTATTGACCAACATACATTTTTTTAAATTATTCATGTGGCATTGCATTTTTGGAAGCTTACAAAATCCCAGTATTGTATTTTAGATGGCGTGGTGATGGTGGTTCTGTTACAGTAGGAGATTCTCTTTTTCTGATTCCTTCCATTCATCTCTTAAAGGGCATGGTTAATTTTAAAGGTAAAGGTCAACTTTTGGGGGAAAGAAGCTTGTTTTCTTCCTTTTGTGTTCTTGCTGAGAGTTCAGTAAGCGTATATCTACGTTTGGACAGAAGCATGCTGGCTGTGTCCTATCTTAATGCTAAGCCAAGCTAACAACCTGCTGGCTATACTGTAGCTTCAGATTAAAGGGGAAAATATGACAGGGATATCAATCTTCTTAGCTGATCCAACCCTCTCTTTAGGAGAGTGAATACATTTATTTCCCCAAACCAAATTTTATGTTTCAGTACTTATTAGCAGCTTAGTATTATAACACATCTCCTGCTGTGCTCAAGAAATATCTTTGGCATTGTCATTTTCGAAGGATGTATTTAAGTTTGTTGTCATGTGCAAAGGCTGTTGGATATATAGGTGTATATATCAAGGCAAATAAGAAATAAAAATGAATTATCATCCAAAGAGCACAATAGAATAAATTCTCAAATTAAGCATATTCATAACTGTGCCAAAGCAATGGATTCCTCTCCAGTGCAGTCTGATTCTATGCTGCCATGTGCGTGCAAATACACGTGTATAAATGTGTATGCATGCATGCTTGACTCTAATCCTCCATGTTCAATGCTGTTTTAGATGAGAAGACTGGCACTCTGAAGCTGAGCAACCTGAGCAGCAACATGTCAGGGAAGTATGTGTGCATGGCCAGCAACTCAGCTGGGTCAGAGAGCTGCGTCGTCAACCTGGATATCGTCTCCTGTACGTAGCACACAACAACACATGCAATCATTATATGCATAGCATCAGGAAATGATACGAGGAAATGACGTGTTCATTAGTGTTTACATACTTATAATGTGACAATTCCTGTCTTACTTACTCATTTGAGACATTTCTTTAAGAGAAAGAAACATTCCCAGAAACAATATGTATTCTTTGTAAACATATGTGCTTGGGAGACATGTACTCATTGTTTGTTCTGTGATTCTTCCTGTAGCCACTAAAGTGGGGATGATTGTTGGAGCCGTTGTGGGCTCATTGCTCGCCTGCGCCTTCCTTGTCCTCCTCCTCATCTGCCTCTTTTACCAGTTTAAGAGGCGGAGAGACAATGAGGACGACATGGCCAATGAAATCAAGTGAGTTCATGCAACTTACCTCCCAATAGCCTTTATCACAATATTTTATCTTAAAAACACATTTCATACGATGGAAGGCTCAAAAACAGTTATAAAGGCTGCCAGGTTTATATGAAGTGATTAAAAATGTTTCCTGTGGTGCCTGAACTGTTGAATCACAAGAAAAATCCTTTGTCTTGATGCTTCTTACATCAACTATAAAGTACTGTAAAACTTCAGTGATAAGCCTTTAATTAAACGGTGGCTAATAAGCCTGTCTCAATTAGACACCTGGTCTGGTTGCCAAGCAGTTCATTTTTATAGAAGTTCTTTGGATGCTGAAACTAACGTTAGTTGGCTGCTTCAAGCACACATACAAATATAAATGTTTAAGCTTTTGTCAATATGGAGATGCTACACATTGTTAGCTCAGTTAGATTCTCCACAGCTCAATCATTCAGTTTGTTTTGCTGAAACTACAGTATGATGACCAAAGAATTCAGTAATTCATTGAGATTTACCAGCCTGGTGAACACGAGAGATTAAAAAAAGTGGTGACTCCTATGTCTGAAGCAGTCATATAATCAGAATATGTGTCCATTCCTCCATTACCTAACAAGTTATTGAAATTCCTTCATATTCTATCAAAACGGTTTTCATAAAAATGTAATCAAAGTTGTGAATATTGTTTTAACAGGATAAAGTGGTGTTGTGTTGATATGCCAGGTGCTGTAAAATGAGTGTCATAACTGTCTCTCTCTCTGATGCATTGTCACTTGGTGCAAAATCAAATGATGATTCATAATTGATATGTTATTCAAAGCCTAATTTTTATACAAGTAATATTCATACTGGTTTAAATAAACAATTTCATTGTATTTTTCATCTTTGCTGAGTAAAAGTTTTGTGTAAAGGAACTAAAGGCCTCTCCCATATGGAGACCTGCCCCAAATATACATCTGTTGAGTTCAGTGATTTAAGCAATAATAGCCCGGGGTACTAATTAAAGTTTTACAGTACATAGGTAGTGTTCAATAAAAATGAACTCTGGTTTAACAGCATGCACTTGTTGCATTTGCACGTTTTACAGAAAGACAAAATAACAAAAATATTGTACAAGAAAAAGAAAAGAGTAATATTTAAAGAGGAAATGATGTCAGGACTTATTGGTTGACTATATGTCACCCAACTTTAGGGCTGCAACAAAATATGATTATTTTAATTAATTTGGTGACTGTTTTCTCAATTAAGCAATTTTTTGTCTTTAAAATGTCAGAAACTAGAAAAATGTTTAAGGTGACACTTTCAGATGTCTTGCAGTCTAAAACTACACTGTAGAAGGTGGAGGCAGCAAATGTCTGGTATTTTTGATGAAATTACCACAATTATTGTTATTTGATTATCAAAACAGTAGCTAGTTTATTTTTCTGTCAATGGACTAATCGGTTCTTTTTCTTTCAAATGTTACAAAATGTGGCTTGATGTTGTGTGTGCTGTAAACGGTAACCTGACTGCGTCCTGTCTGTGTCCAGGGAGGACGCTCAGGCTCCCAAGCGTGTGTCCTGGGCTAAAAGCGGCATGGGTTCAGACATCATCTCCAAGAACGGCACCCTGTCCTCCATCGCCTCTAGCCCACACCATAAAGAGCCCTCACACCACCACAACAACAACCACCACCACCTGCAGCAGTACCCCCAGCGCCCCCCTTCGGACACTGCCTCCATAATTACCGCCACTGGCAGCATGGCCGGCTACCGCCCATCCCGCCAACATGGAGCCTCCACTCCAACCCACTACAGCTACAACAACGATACCACCCTGCCACGAGGACAGACCATCTCCTCTGAGGCCAGCACCAACGGGAGTTCCCTTCCCAGACCAGAGCGTTACACCCAGCTGCCCCAGGCTCAGGTGCTGCCGCAGACCTACGGCCAGCCTCAGCTGCAGTTCCAGGCTGCTCCCTCCCCGCCACCGCTGCCCACCTCCACAGTCACAGCCTCCAACATCACCCGCATGGGAGGTGTGCCCATAATGGTGCCTGCACAGAACCAGGCCGGGTCTCTGGTCTAATGCTGGCAAAACAGTGCTGTCTACCGAAACAGTGGAATACTGTCCCTTTACACTCTTAGGAAGGGTCAGCTGCTGATTTTTTTTAAAGGGAACGCTTTAACTTCTATTTAGCAAAAAATTACAGTAGACGAAAAGGTCAGATTCACTTATTGACGCTTGCTTGCGCCGAGAAGATTTCATGGCAAGACTTTCAGACACAGACTGTTACTTGCATTAAGTATACTCAAGTCTTTTATACTCTGTATGCACTGTACACATTGCAAACTATGTACTGATATGATTTTCATACATTCTTGTCCAGTATGCTCTTTTCTACATTATCAATGCATTTTTAATATTGTACTTTATTTGTTGTATTTTATTATTTTCAAAAGTAGCTTTTTAATGTCGTATCATATATATATATATATATATATTTTTTCCCTCCAGCCGCACTAATTCCTCAAAGTGAACAGCAAATGGATCATCAGTGGGGGCTGTCATGTGTGTGCAGGAGTCATAGATGACCATACAGATGGAATAAGAAGAGGGTTATGCAGGTCAGCTGTACTTCCATCATCTTTACTTAAAAAATACCAAAAAAAGGTTTTATCTAGACCAAAATAGGTTTAAGCACAATATATCAGTACTGTTCAGAGGAGCTCAAAGTGAAGTTAGTGAGAACTGGGTGTAATATATACAGATCTATGTATTAATGAGCATATTTCTGTAGCGTTCTTGTGGAAAGACAGATGAAACAACATTATACATGTGATTAAGTTTGGCATTGCAAAGTATCCTAATCCTTTTTTTTGGCTTTACTTCTGTTGGTGGTTCAGTTTTTTAAATGCTCTTAGACTCAATTCTTTAAACACAGATTAGCAAAAGCTTCTTGTAATACTGAGCACTATTCACAACTGCAGTGTGGTGACTTTGCTAAAACATGAGTCGACACTTTAACAGTAATCATTTAAAGTTGGCTACAGAATTGAAGTTGTAAATATGATATTTATTTTCTGATAAATGTGCGACATACATATTGTTGGCCACAGTCTGTATGGAACATATAATACGGGTTATATGTTTTCCTTCAACACTGGATACTGAACCAAAGAAACAATATGTAAGGCTTCATTATTTCAACCTGTTCTTTTTATATGTTTATTCTTTATATGTTTATTTGCTTATTTAAATCAACATGACACTGAAGCATTTTTTTGTCCTGCTGAAAGCATTTTTAAACAAACTTTCTTTCACATTTGCTTGACATTGTCACATTATGGTAACAGGAAGCTGATATCATTTCTCAAATTTCTCTAAATCAAAAACATTGTAAATTTGTTTTTATAACCCTTTTTCAATGCACAAACACTAACACCTGTTAACATCTGGCTTTTCTATGTAATTGGAAAGGTTACAAATAGCATTCTCATCTGGGTAGTCACAGGTATTTATCAGCTCCAGCTCTGATCTGCATTGATATAAACACAACACCGGGGTGAACGCGCTAAACATCATTCCAAATTAGTCTGCACCCAGTTTGAAAGATAGACTGAGTAAGTTAGATATATACAAAAAGAAGTAACCACTGTAACAGTTGATTTCTACTGTTTTCTAACCTTCTCTGGCCTGTCAAATGAGACACACCAGTGGAAGAAAAAAACAGAAAGGCATACTTGCCTGCTGCAGAGCCGTGTACACAGCTCTGGTCTGCTGGCAGTGGAAAAGGAGTCTATATCCTATTTTTAGTGGGTTTACCCGTGTTTAAAAACCCACATACACAAGCTAATTTTGGCTGAAAACGGGTATAAGACTTTAGCAGGTGCCCTGTTTGTGCTCTGCTATCATTTCCTGGTAGAGAAGATTGAGAAGATAAAGTGTTTCTCCTTAAAGTTAGGGGCGTTATTTAGGACATTTAAAGCAACCCACATACTGTGTTAAATACTGCACTGAATTTTGGCTTAGAGTTGCCTGGGTCCAGACCTGCACTGAATTACCGGTTTAATCTGGAAAAACGAATTATGAGCGCTGCAGAGGGACTAGCAATTAGCCAATCAGACTGACACTGCTGTCAGGTTGTTGTCAAGTGGTGCACAAGAACCAATGAGGAGTATTAACAGCAGTGGCGAGTCCTATACACAAGATAGATGCAGGCTGTTCTCAACCATCATGTCTTATTAATATCACCTGACAACGTTGTTTGTTTTACTTCGCTGCGCTCCACTCTATAAACCCCAGCAAAACAAGTATGTTTGCATGGCTACACATTGGTGTGGACTTAAATAATGTTAGATTCGGGTGGACACTTTGTTTTAGTGATTGATTCGGGAAAATCGAATCCCTGTCCACCACAAAAATCAACTAGAGAGGACGCAGTGTCAGACTAAAGATAAAAACCAAGTGTTACTGTCTGATATCAGGCAAACCTCAAAGGCTCGGTTCTGTGCATATTTTGAATAAAACACAATTCCTGTATTATGCTCCTGTTATTTTTGTTCAGTCAGTAATTATGATTAAGAAAAGCTGTAGCTCTGGGGCCCTGACTCCCACAGGGTGTCGCCAAAGCTTCACGAGGGGTCAAATGGCCCTTGATTTTAAGGGGTATAGGAAAACTTATTCCTAAAAATGTACAGTAGACCTATATCTCAGCACTTCATTTCTTTCAAGAAAACTAAACAAAATTATTTTCAAAGTTTAGATTATTATTCAAGATATAAACTTAAAAAAACCTGACAGAATAAGAGCACAGTGAAAACCTGAACAGAGGCTCTATTCACAGAGCCCTCCCTGTCTGCTAAACAGCCCTCTCCTGCAGTCAAAACAATCATAGAGCTAACAGAACAATGGCCAAGTGTCAGGGGGAAGAAAACACTGAATTTGTCAGTCAAAAAGAAGCCTTGTAAGTGTAACTGATAAACATAATACAGACAGAGAATCTTATAATAAAGTTCCTAAAATATCAAGAAAACTCATCTGTGCAAAATTCGCATGAAATGATCTGCTAAGAACACCCTTACCACCTGTTTCCTTCCTTCAGTTATTGCGTTTACTGTTTGGGTTATTGTACATTTTCTAGGTTGTTCTGTACTGTTATTGTTATGCAATGAATATAATATGAAATATCCATAAAATATGTTACTTAATCAGAGGTGGTCAGTTAATGGAATGATAGAGAAGGGGTCCCTTAAGGAAAAAGGTTGGGGACCACTGCAGCAGATGACACGGAGGACCAATTCTCTGAAAAACTGCTCCACTGAGTGATTATTGAAATTCTGACATTGTTAAAAAAAGTAAATAAATAAAAATTACATTTAAAACATAATATTGCAAAGTCAGAATGTATCGAAATGGCTAAATGGATCAGGAACATAACATAAACTTTGGTTTCAAATCAGTTTTTAACAAGCATTGAAATCTAATTGTGGCTTGTGTCTTTCTTTCTCTGGCCACTATCAATTCACACATTATTAGGATTTTGGGGAAAAAAGGAAAAACAGATAAATGTATAATGATCATAATATCTATTGTGCTGTATTGTCTTTACACTGGAGCAATGATTGTGCACAGGATGTTAGAACATTCCCAAATGAATCATTTGAAACATGAGAGCATGCTTTACAGAGCATTTCTGAAAATTGACATCTCTTTGACACAAACTCGACAGGACAGTGGGAGTTGAATGTCTGGTAGTTTTGCTGAGGTTTGTATTGTTTTTAGAATATTAAAGCAAAATGAAAAGAGTTGATGAGGGAAGGGGGAAGTGATGAGCAAATCATTTTGATGAGTAGAACTTAGTCTTTACAGCTACAGTGATACTTTTGAACTTGTGAATGGGTCATTGAAAAAGTGTACATTGTGAACATTAAAATGTATTCAAGACAAGCCTTTATTTTTATACAGTGATGTATCAGAGCACACAAGCAGAGTTTATAAATAGTAAATGTCAGTGATGGATTGTATAACTGCTGTGGACAGACTGGTGGAAAAACCTGTGCTCATGTCTACAGTAGGTCCAAACTATGGACATGGATGTGCAGTGTGCACTTGTATCCTCCATATTTATGTTCATGGAAAATGCTTTGTATGAAATTTTCAATTAAAGAAGAAATGATCAGCTATGTTGTGATCAGTGTGTATTTTTCCCCAAAGCTTCTAAAATGGCCATTATTTAAAATATAATAGGCAGGCTTACAGCATTAAGGTGGACTGACTACATTCAAAAGCCGATTCTAACCTGAGATCTTATTTTTATCCAACTTGAATGAACCCATATGATTCCATTTGCATTTAGAAAATGAAACTTTGATTTACAGTTAAGAAGGATGGGTTGCATCAGAAATATAACTTTTCGAGTGTAAACCTCTGTCTATTAATCAGAAACCAGCTGCAGTGCCTTTATACCATCATCTGCCCTCCACTGGCTATCATGAGCCAGTACAGCTGGGAGATGTAATAAAAATCACCTGTTCATATATCCCGTGTATATTTGTATATTTGAATATTTGTAACTTGTAATATTCTCAGAATAATTTAGTTGAATTATTCACTCAACCTATGCTGCATAGGTTGAGTGAATAGTTCAACTAGAGAATATGTAATGAATTGTGACATAAATTTTAACATCTGCAGACACAACTGTTTTGATGTGTCTACTGGATTTGTTGAATATTACCAATAAACTGTTGTGTATGTGTGTGTACACATACTTGACAAACTACCTGTAGACAGACTATTTAAATTGTTACCATAGTTTATATTTTTTAGTAACTATCCTCATTCTAACAGTAGTTTATGTATTTGGTCAAGTATACCTCAGTATTTATTGCACATTTCCAGAAGTCATCCTGAGATTTGAAGTGAACCACCAGAGGGCAGCAAATGGACTATCTGGGAAACACTAGAGAAGTTGGAGAAGAAAATTCCTGATGGACACCCTATTATCTAAATGTTAAACCTAAATAGACTGCGTCCTGTAAAGTGCTTTTCTAATCTTCCAATCACTCAAAGAGCTTTCACACTACATCTCACATTCACCCATTCACACACTGGTGGCTGAGGCTACCATTCAGGGTGTTCGGTATCTTGCAGGGATGCTTCAGCATGTGGACTGGGGGGGCTGGGGACCGAGCCTCCAGTCTCGTGGTTGGTGGACAACCTGCTCTACCTCCTGAGCCACAGCTGCCCCCTCTTTTGTATGTCACTGTCCTGAGGCAACAAAGAGTCCTTGAAACCCTCCTACTGATAAACATTTTAATAACATTATGTGAAGTATGAATGAAGTTTGTGAAATGTTGCATTTCAAGAAACAGAGGCACATGTGGCAAAGTGCCAAAGGGGTAAAACAAATCTGACAGTTTAAATCAAGATATCTTGCTGGGAAAAGGACAGGCATGCAAATCACTTTTAGGAAGCATCATTGATGGTTTAAAGATATGTTTCATGTATTATATTTATTTTTAAATTGTGATTTTCCATTTGTTGCCTCAAGGCAACTTGTGCAGTTGGGCTACTTGTTAGATGTATTATGACGTACAGTAATGGCTCTGGTCAGTGTTTTTTATGATGTACTAAAACTCACTGTGGCAATAATGGACACAGGGACATCTGGTCCAAACCTGAACCTGACTGAGTGGTTCTGGTCCTGTCCTGCTGAGGACAGTAAGCTTCAGGACAGTGTCAACATGAATGGATCTGACCAATCAGGTTTGAGAGACAGTACTGTAAGTTTCATCAACACACAGAAACCATACAATCTGTGTAGGAATAGATATTCCTGTAACCAGTAATGATCCATACTTGCTATTTATGTCAGGACAGAGCATTTCATGAAGTGTAAAATGAACTCAGTTATCTGACAGAATAACATGTAGCCATGCAAATGTAATTCTTATGCATTGCAGAGTACAGACAATGTGATCCTTGTTACAGTAGCTGGTTCCTGAAGTTTCACACAAAAGAGAAACAAGAAAAGAAAGACTTCAGTCCCCCTCCACTCAAACCTGTTCTGCTTATTGTTCCTTCGCTGTGATATTCGAAATTCACTGCTGAGAGAAGACAGTTTCTTTTTAATAACCTTAAATCACCTGGGAATATCAGCAGGATTTAGTGACATCACGTCATTTTTTATACTCATATGGGACATTGTTGCACTAAGACTGGGCAATGAAAATGTATCATTATTATTATTATTATTATTATCATGTACTTTGAATGTAAACTAGTTGCCAAAGGGTATAAAAACATCAAAATAGGACTTCTTTATACTATCAAAAAAAAGAAAAAGGGCCGGGGCCCCTACCCTTGTGTATACCTGACCTGTGCTGGCCTGCTGCGACTGGCCGCTGGCCACCTGTCATTTTACAAAAGTGGCCGCTGGGCAATCAAGTTGAGCATCTCTGACCTGAATCATCCAAAAAATGCTTGAAATACCGCCAAATTTGTGTGAAATTTGAAGACATTCCCTCAAGGAAATATTGCACTCATGATGTTGAGATGGATGCAAGGTCACAATGATCTTGATCTTTGACAATGACAATCTAAGCAATTCATCGTGCAAGTAAGAGAGTCCAAGTAAACGTTTGTGCCAAATTTTAAAAAAAAATCCCTTGTGTTCTTGAGACATTGCTTTCACAAAAATTAGACAGATGCAAGGTCACAGTGACCTTGACCTTTGACCTATGACTACCAAAATCTAATGAATAAACTGTATTGTTGAATCCAAGTGGACGTTTGTGCCAAATTTGAAAATATTTCCTAAAGGCTCTCTTGAAATATTGTGTTCACATTAGGAAGGATGGACATGGACCATGGCTACCATGGGCGCGGGGGCATAAACAAAAAAAAAAGAACCAAACAAACAAAAAAACCATCATGAAGTCAAAGTAACCCAACCTGCTGTGGCTGGTCTTCTTACACCAGCTAATCAGCATTGATCATGTCACCAGCTAAACTCAAAAGGTTAAGACAGAAAGAAGCAGACGCAGTCAACTCTAGGGTAGAATGTTTATTAGAATTTGCGATTAGCGATGTAACATTCACCTACATGGCGCAAAGGAAGTCATAAATATGCTAATATGCAAATATGCACGCCTTTATTGAAATGAGCTCATCTCATCACGGGATGATATATCCAAGGACAACTCAGTGATACACCTCCACATGGCTGAACAGGGTGGAATGAACAGAAGCCTTTCGCTCTGATGACACAGTAAATAAAAGTAGAAAATCAGCAACAGAGTTTATATCAAATATTTAGATATAAATGGAAAGAAATTTCAAAAAAGTCAGAAGAGCACTGGATATTCAGATAGTGAAGCAAAAAAAACCAAACATTGTAATGCACTGCACTGCACCCGTAATAGTCGTGTGTTTCTTGTCATTCAAATGGAGCTACAGTACTAAGTTGGCAGAAAAAGGTGCATGGCTTTTGTATTCAAATTAATCACTCTTTCCATCTGAACCAATACAGGGAGATGATCACATGTGGATGCAGTATGGCATTTCACTTATTTTACAGTGTAGTTCCTATGAATCAAAAAAATACAACAATCAACAGGACCCAGTGGTTAAGAGGTCAGTTTATGAATAAGTGTCAAAAGTTGGCAACATTGAGATTTTGTTAAAGGGAACAAAGAAAAGAAAAAGAAACTGTAAAAAATAAGGAAAAGAAAGCAACCATAAAGTTGTATCCCTGTACCAAAGTGGTGTTGTGATATTTAAAAGCATGTCATGCTCCATTAGTGAAGTCCTTTAAATGTGGAATAGGCTGTCCCACTTGTTTAACTATTCAGACGGCGGCCATTTGGGGTCTAGCCTGAGCTTAATGTGCAGGAAGGGAGAAGGTGAGCTCAGCGAAAGGCAGTAGTCATAGTTGAGGTGAATACAATAATGTTGATGGTGAGGATCCATGGTTGATAATGGTAAAAGATGGAAGGTCATGCAGCTTGGGCCAGAGGCGAGGAGGATTAGAAAAGCCCTCGGGGAAGAATTCTCCATCACACTGTGGCCTCTGGCCTGACGACGCTTTAGGTAGGACACAACACTAGAGAGGAAAAACAGTGCATAATAATGTTAAGCCCCTATGAGAGATATAATGAAGTTACTTTGATGTAGTGATTCTTGTAGCAAAGTGAGAAAGTTCAATTTGGCAATAACTGAATTTACTAGACAATCTTTAAATCAGAGAACACACTGTAATTTTACTTTAAATAAATCAGTGTTTGGGAAACACTGGGTTAGGCTACTGTATGAAGTGTATGCATATGCCCATGTTCATCTGGTGATAGGGACTTAAAGCAGAGGGGGGAGCAGCAGGAGGAAGGTATATATTCAAATTTTGCCCTTTACAGATTTCCTCCCACCTCAACTTTATAACTAACGTTGTTGTATTTACCTTTCAAAATGTAGTCAGTTAGCAGTGTAGGCACCTTCTCACTGTCCTCCTTCATGGCAAAAAGAACTACATCACAAAAATGAATAGTGAATCAACTCTGGTTATACACTTTTATCCAGCCAGTACTTATTATGTACCTTTGATACAAATGTTCTGGACAAGTATACTTACTCTTCGTGAGCATCTGCAGGTCATCAACAGATGGAGGGGTGCCTTTCTTCTCATATGGAATAACTGTGTTTAGATACTGAAAACAGACAGGTTCAGTGTTCACAGATGTCAATAGAGCACTTGCCAAGAGTTAGATGGAAAGATTGACACCACTCTCATATCTTTCTGTTAAACATAAATCTGGAACCCTGCTATGTTTAGTTTAACTTCGCTCTAGCCTCAGTTCATTATCATTTCTTTTCTGAGGTTAGTCATCTTTAGAAAGCCTACCTCTGAACTGTGTATATGAGCTCAGGATTCTCGGACCCCTGGTGCTGTCTAGCAAACCAGCTTGTGTTTCCACCAGTGTTGAGCAGAACCATTGTAATCCAAGGAAATTATCTTTTATCATTTCCTTGTTGTAATCACAGGTGTGTCATCAACAGAGGCTGTTGCACAATGCACAGCAGAAGTAAACAGTAGAAGCAAAACTGCGTATTCATTGTTACCTGCAAACTTATTTTCTGTTAATACAGATATTTGTTTTTACCCCAATTTTAAGCATGAACCAACAAT